AAGACAGCTATTTTTGTATGTGAAATTTTCGACATGTTGGGAGGAATCTGTCATTACAGATACACATCACTTTATTGTTACTCGATATCTCGTCTGATGTATAAGTAAAGCTATAACTCAAAAAATAAGATATATAAGTGAGACTATTTATTAAGAGCCATTTCTAGGTGGGTAGTTTCTGATTCATTTTCATCCAATGAACTTGAAAAAAGCTGTTTTCTGACTGCATGTGTATGTAGACTAAGAAGAAAACTTTTTAATAGAAGAAAACCACATACCTCCATCTGTGAATCCATTGTCTTTTAATATCATTGTTAATTTACATAACATATGCGCGATAAATATTATATTAGTTAGAGGATTTCATAATGAGCTGACATCAGTTAGAGAACCACTGGAAAATCTGGAAGTAGTGGATCGCTGTTTCGTTCTACTCTAAGTTTTTCCAGTGGTTCTCTAACTGATGTCAGCTCATGATGAAATCCTCCAACCGACCAAGTAAAATCCCTACAAAATCAGTACTTGAACATATCATATTATTTTGTTTGAAAATCATGAAATGAACCTACATAATGTTATACAAACCTGTATAATATGTTTAGCAGAACAATACTAACGTAATTTAGATATTGTTCAGCTGAAATTAGAACATATTAATCATCTTAATTGCTAATTTCACATTTCAAATTGCTTAGCCAGTGTAATGAGTCTGGATATCGTAATTATTCCTTTTCCGTTTGTGTCGGTACACGTATGGTTGTATACACATACATGTATATACATATGTAGTCATTAGTGCATTGTTAAAGTTTACTTAAACACAGAAAGAACAAGCATATTTGCTGAATAATACTAGCTCGTTCCATTTCTTGGGTTCTTTTTAACTGCCTACATCCTAAACATTATCGAAATATAAGTTACAAAATTTCTGGACATACTTTTATCACAGTAAAATAGGGTTATGGATAGAAATTATAAACAACATAATATGAAATAATATATAAGTAGACAGTATCATTCAGTGTTGAAAGATTAACTGTTGATAGTGCAATTAGACAAGGGCACGTCGCCGAGTCCAAATTTTGCCTGGAAATAAGGATGGACTGAAGACAGAATACAAGACTAAACAATACAGTAATTTTACGTATAATATTCTGGGGACTTAAAGAGGGTGGAAGTGAGTAGTAAACTGAATTTAAGGCATTTACAAACACTTAAGTAAATTTAAAGACTTAATAGTGAGTTGAGGTCACTCTGTGAAAATGTAAATTAAGTGAAAAGTTACGCAATAGAACAAAATACATGAACAAAAAGCTATAGTTACTTGGGTAGTGAGAGATTAATCACACTATCTTTGTGTATACAGTGGTTTGGTCGAAGTGTTTGATAGTGGTTGTTTGTGTAAAATGAAGTAATGAGGCTTTTCTTTGTAAATTGATTATTTTGAGATCATGACTAATTTGGGTTGTACGCAGTTGAAAAGAAGCCAAGATATATTATCTTGAAAATATGTTCAAACTAATCAAAGGAATAAAATGTATAAAGTTAATGTTTGTCCTGAAATCTGTGCGCTGTCTTACTTCTAATAATAAAAATTTTAGGTTCGGCTATACAGGATAGTAATGACTATTCAGTTATATTTAAACAAATAATTATCTCAGATTTTCGAAAATAAGATTTAACTAAATTTGTGAATTTTATTGGAAAATTAATATTAATGACAAGTTGTTAAACTGTGAAATAGATGAGGGAGTAGAGTTTGGGCACTTCGGTAAGCTTATTTCATAAAACACAGTGACACAGTATTACGTGAAATAAGCATCTAGAAGGTGAAATGCCTAACTGAAAAATCACAACTGTAATTGAATTACTGTAGTTTAAATGTGTGCATATATAAATTATGTTGAATATGATGTTAATTAGATTAATTGAAATACAAGAAATAGGACAAAGCCACGAATAATTCATAGTTCCGTAGTTTCTTTCTAAAAAAAGTTTTGGCTTTCAATTTTGAGGAATTGACTACAATGCAGTTATGTTTCTTTTTATAAAAAGAACAACTCGCTTTGTCTTGTATTCAGTTTTCTGTCCTACCATGTGACAGTTTATGTTTATCTGGCATCATGAATTTCACTTCTAAAATCATTTATTTTACGAATATTAACCTTCATTTTTTCTCCTTATTTTTAACATGCACAACTGTTTAAATTCTTGGATAACTTTTAGTGATGATTTAAAATGTATGGCTGAAAGATGGAATTCATGTTTTCGTCATATGTATTCTCTGTAAAATATATAACTGTTTTCGTCATATATGAAATAAATACTGCTAGATGATTTATTGCTTTAACTTATCAAAGAAGAAGCCAATGAAAAAAAACATAATTGGCATTTATATTCTGGACTTTGAACCGTTTAACTGTGACGCCTTCGTTATTCATCTGGATAGAATCTTCAGCACTAAATGCAAAATAAAGAGGACTTTCGAAATTCTCTGCGTCATCAAGAGCTGACTTCATTTTGAGAATCACTGAAAAACAGGGATTGCTGCATAGTCATTTCATTCTTCCTCAGGACTCGTCATCCGTAAGCACCCATTACTTCACGTAGAATCAAACTAAAGGACTTTCTGTTCATGAGCACATTGGACACATAGTCACTAGGGTGGAATCCTATAATCACTGAACTTAATAGTACTCTGAGTGAAGTTAGTTTATGATCTAACTCGAAATTAATTAAATCCCCGAAAAGCAATGCTTAAAAGTTTATTTAACGCTCACTAGTGACTGATTGAGGAATAAAGTTGGCTAAGGTGCTGGTGATGGGATCCAGCAAGTTGAGTATGTGAGGTCAGATACTTAACGATGACATTCTTTGACTGTTATGCTATGTACTGCAAATCAGCAGAAGCTGGAATGAATAGAGCATTGGATTACACCTCATTGGAAGAATGGTTGATAGGTCCTCTAGTCAACCTAAAATCCTGGGTTCTATTTCTCGTGTCCACCAATTCTCTGGTTTTCCCTAGCTCTATAATTAAAGCCATTTAGTAACCTAAATTGGTATAACTGACTGATATTAGCTTACAATCTGAGAAAAAATATTTTCGGCCCTCCAGTTTTCTAATAATAAAGCAAAACGAAACACACAATGTATTTGAAACTTTACCCTAATCTTACTTTTTTGAGTGTTTTTGTACTACTCTGCAGTGATTGGTTTGCAGTGGTATAATGGCTATAAGTAAAATGTAAGAGCAAAATATCAGTTATGTATTCAAGACAAGTGTTCTCAGGTGCCATTTCCTTACTTTTGTCATTTTGTTTATTATAAACAACACTTTAGCATTACTGATGGTGTCTGCACCATAGTTTGCTTGATGATTAAATCTCTTATTTTTTGGTTGGGATAGCAATGTTGCTTCAAATTATTTTCAGGTAGAATTCAGCACTGAATCACAAGAGATCTTAAGTGATAGACTGGAAGTAATTTGTTCAGGATTTAGCTTCGTTGACATTCATTGTTATTCACGAGTGCACTCCACCTGTATAGCACTAAAAAACTTGCATTTCTTTTTATTTCTCTTAAAATTTCACAGGAGTTACAACATGTTTCATCAGGAATTTAAAATCTGTCCATCTTTACGCTTTTGGACTTTTAAATAATCGGCGAAAGTTTAAATATGAAATTAGTTTATTCGAATTCTCCATGAATGATATTATTGTGTCTTCTGACAGTCCTTGTCGAGATTGTTTATTCCTTGCATCTAAAATGATCATTTTTATTGACTTGGAACTTCAAACTCGTTGTCAGGCAATTTATTCTTTCATCATGAGCTGACATCAGTTAGAGAACCACTGGAAAACCTGGGAGTACTGGACAGCTGGACAACTGATGTCAGCTCATGATGAAATCCTCAATGCAATTAAACAAAATCCCTACCAAACCAATACTTGAAAATTTATTCTTTATTAATTGGCAAACTTGGCCTATAGTAATATGTCTGTCCATCGTTGATTCATCTGAGAGCCAGGCTTCTAGAAATTCTCTGGCGGTTTTGATGTTCTCACCGTTTAAAATTTTCAAATTTTCCCAATCAAACTGGTGTCCATATTTGTCTACATGCATCGATATCAAAGAGAAAATATCGTGTCTTTTAACGGCTAGCTTATGATCACGGATTCTGAATCGAAGGGGACGCCTACTTTGATCAGTATAGTATTTATCACAACTCAAGCAATCATTTTTGTAGATGGTATTGATCTTGTCTTCTTTTGATGTTGGAACTTCCGGTTTGCACAGTATTTAATTTAGTGATTGTGTTGATTTGTGTGCTACATCTACTTCGGATGGTTTTAGCACTCTAGCAGTTATTTCAGCTGTTATTTCTCTATATATGGTTAGATGAATTTTCTTGTAGTTCCTTGGGTGGGTTTCTTGATGGCATTTTGATTTGACTTTATACATTTTTTTGAGCAAATTGTATGGGTGTCCATTTTTCTTGAAATCGATTAATAAACATTTCTCTTGTGTATGTCTTAAATGACTCCATGAACATTTTCATGAATGTCATTTAGATAACGAGGCTTTTAGTGGGATAAATGAATAACCATTGTTTTTGTTTCTTATGAAACTGTCGTCATTTATACATAGTTAAGGAGTTGGGTTCTGCAATTGTACTTATCAACCATTAGAGGACCATTAGAAGAGGTTCGAACCCCGGTGGGTGCATACTGATGAAGAGTCTCAAACTAGGACGTAACAGCTGTCCATTACTCCCAGGTTTTCCAGTGGTTCTCTAACTAATGTCAGCTCATGGTGAAATCCTGTAACCATTAGAGGACATATTTTAATATAAAAGTAGGTTGGAGATGAAGAGATTGAATAGACAAGTTTTCCCATACTTTAGTCTTAATATATATTTGAGGAAACATTGAGGAACTGAAAGTGAAATAATTAATCCCGACTATTCCTTTTCTTTTTCTCTAACCCAATACTTTTAGGATTCAGATGCTTCGTGTGAATTTGAATCTCCCAACTCAACAAACGAACCAAAACTTCAAACTTGGCCACTTTCTTTGCAAAGTATTGTAAGACCAACTGACTCAGATAGTAATAGTAGTATACCGCCTAAACCAATTGAAAATAATCGTATCAGTAATGTGAATATGCATATTCAAAAGTCAAAACCAAGGTAATAAATGTTTGTGATATTCATTTAACCAATTTTTGTACCTGAGAAAATGCAAATAATTCACTAACAGCTGTTTATAGATAAGCTGTTTACACTAGTCTATATTTGCAAAATTCACTCAGATAATTCCAAAACATAGATTAATTTTTGTTTGTTTTTGTTTTAATGGTGGTAAGTGTCTTATGACTAACCAAAGCACATCAATACATCTGTCAAATAAATCATGAAAAGTGTACTATAATCAGTGTAAAAATCTACAACTTCGTGAACACTTAAAAATGAAGGATATACCTATTATGCAGTTTCATGTAAGAGTATTAAGTAATAAAATTGTATCTGAACAAAGACATACCTATGCATGCATTACCACTAGCGTAAATGAACAACACTGGACAACAATTTAAACATTCAGCATATATGAAGAGAGGGTGATTAACGACTAAATCTTTCTATATTGAATCAATATTAAATAAGCTTTATGGAAATTCTTTAACAACAATTCTGTCCACTAGTAGAATTTGTTTTGTTTTCTGACAATAAATAACAAAAATACAGTATACACAAGCATGTGGAGTTATAATTTAAGCTTAATACGCATAAAACTAGCCGAATACTTAATCTTGAGTGACAGACATATGACCTAGGTTAAAATGTGTTGTTCATTCTTTATCACTTTTCTGATTGCCAAATTAGTTTAGAGACTGAAGTAAATTCACTGAAGAGATGTGTTTGAATAATTTCATATTTCTGAAAATTTAAAATACTCTGTGTCATAATAATCATAGGACTTATCCAATAGATTCAATTATATAAACAAGCAACGAATCACATTAACTTGTTTGTGCTACGTTATTCTTACATCCATATCATGCATGTTTTGCTTTGAAAGTCAAATATAAAATACTGTTTCAGAAACTTAAATGTGGAAAGGTGATTTATCTAACCGATTGATATGGTGGATCCGATGCTTATCACACCAATCAGCTGTGTTTCCAAGCCACATAAAGGTGATTTGCGCATGGTGGTTAGAGTTAATCCTGATTAGCTTGATACCAAATGAGTAATACCGTACTCTCATAGGATACATAGGCACTACTCATGTATGTTAGTGGTTTCAAATGTATCTTATCAATCGGTAATGACTGTCATCCTGTTATTTTACTTCTTCATTATGTTAACTATGGTGTCAGTTTGCTCACACATTGTTATCTATTTATTGTTATCAGTTTCTAAAAGAAAAAACAGCAGATTTTTATCTCTAAATACGTAACTGAATAAAACTGATAATTAAGCATTTCCTGTCTAACAGTATTCAATTTATCCAAGTTTCAAGTACCCTAAGAAAACTGCCAAGAATCACAGTTATATCTATGCTGTTCCATAATTCAATTTCAGATTCTTATCGATAGTTTTAAGTGAACGTTTTCTACCCTTAAAAAGTGTATATAATCGTTCGTGTTACCTAACCTGTTAGTAGTAACCGACGTTATTGTGGTAAAATACCTCATTACTGGCATAATTTTATTCTACGTTTTAGCTGTACATTAATTCCAACAAAAGCTAATGAATGCAAAATTCAGTCAGGTGCAGTTTATCAAAAAGAACCTTGGCGTCGTCATTCCCTTCGCATAAACCCAACAGATGTATCCACTCAGTCAACTTCTCTGCAAGTTACAGATAATTTAAACGATAAGGTAAGGAGTGTTATTAGTATTCTGTATGTTAATTGTATCAGTAGTTTGGACTGTGTACAATTCACATAATAAAGATAACACGTATCTTTAACTGCTTTAGAAGTCCTAATCTCAGTTAAAAATAGTCAATCCATTTGTCTTATTGCATTTGAAAACATTTACTGTTTCTGATTGGCTTATCATTAATAACCTAGGATTGGTAGGCTCATATTTATGTTACGAGTGGTGCTTGCAAAAGGGGGCAGAACCAAGTCATGGCAGGATTCAAACCAGAAGCCACCGAAATAATGACATGAGGCCAAAATGAACCTAGCAGTCTCAGACGAACTTATTAAAAAATAACAATGTCGCCTCCTTCCTCTAGGTCAATATGAATAAATTTGATAGAATACATGGATTTATAGCTGATATTATATTCGGCGAGCAGTTTTAGTCACACTGAAGCTACGTATACCACCTGATGACTCCTGTTAACTGATTACCTAATTAACAGGCGGGTCTCATAGCTTAACTATTAAACTGCCGGCGTAGTATTCCAGAGGACACTGATTCGAGTCTTGTAGCGATACAGGTTCCCACTTCTTCTTGCTTTCTTCAAAACATTTGCCAGCTGGAGAAAGAGTTCATGAATAACTTTATCAAGACTTAGAGACTTCAATTAAGTGTTAACTCAGGACTACGAGGAGTGAGTTATAAGAATAGAAATCAGGCACTGTGGTGGAGTATAGTCCCATAATAGAACAATTTTATTTGTTGCTGAATAGTGACACAATATTATTTATTCAAAAGTATATGACTATGTTTCCTTAAGTGAAATTTTTTCGTTATGCAAGGTATAAGTTAGTTTCTCCTTATTCATTTACTAAGAACCTACCATTTTCGAGGACAGATCATCACTGGATAAGATAACGAAACGGACTTGACTGAATTTGGTTTAATTTGAGGTATTTCTATATTACTTAATGGTGCCAGCTAGAGCCATGACCAGACTGTGCAATACAAAACGTTTCGTAGGAACGGTTTCCGTCTTCATTAAATTGAATTCTGAGGATAAATGAAAAGACTGTACACTAATAGTAAATACACAGTGAGTGTATTCATGTCAAATCTTGTGAAACAGTACTGTCCTTTTTTGTTTGTCATTATCTAAGGTTAGAACAGAAGTGTTCAATTATTTGCTGATTCCTTTTCCAAACTTTCATCAGTTAAGATAATAGAGGCTGTCACGGTACACTCAGTACTTCTTTATTTAAGATATGTTTACGACATTTTAGGTTGAGGACAATTTAGTGTCATTAAAACATTTTGATAAATAATTGTACTCTACTTAAAACCTACTATACCATAACAAATTTTTTATTATTCACAGCCACCACAGAGACTGTCTTCATCGCGCAAGCCTCGTACCGCTTCAAGATTCAGTATTGGAAATCCAAGTGAACTTGAAACTCCAAGATGTCGTAGTGTACATTTTTCAAGTGATGTTTTAGTTGCACATACCGGTTCCGGACCAGAACCTTTACTCCTCTCCTCAGCTCCTTTAAAGGAACCAGCTTCTGATGATGAAGATTCACAAAGTTCATATTTCATTGATAGAAAACCAAATAATCACCTAACAAAACTTTCCATTGATTGCGGTCAAAATGCATCAAATATTCCAAGATCTTTTAATTCACGTACAAAAATTAGCAAACCCACGGCTCCATTGCCTTTCCGTCGACAATTTGTCTTTAACTCTCCGAATAACTTAGACTTTTAATTGATCTGATGAAAAGTCACACAATCTGCAAAAGACTTTTCGCTTAATATCATTACAAAAAATGACGAATATGCACTTCTATCTACTGGACAATTTGGAAATTTCCGTCTCATTTCCTCTTCTTTTTCATTATGAAGTTTATCATAGTATTTTTCTATCATTTTGTGTGCCTTAAACAATAATTATACTAATGGGAGCATTGGGCAATCATTGATTTCTCTCAGAAAAGGGCATTTAAATTAACAGCAGGTCATATGCATTTATCACACTGACAGTGATGTTTCACAATTTTCTCTAATTAATTTTCTTCTCACATTTTGACTAACATCTTTTCACAGAGTTTATTTATTATTTGCAACTTTAACAGCTATTTAATCAAATCTGATTTTATTTCGATAAGAATATGAATGAAGATTATTCAGCTGTATTTCACTGGTTTAGGGATTCATATAGTGTGAGAAATACTACAGGTAAATGCAATTGTAGTGTTATTGTAGGATACAGCCTAGTGCATGTAACATAACTCGTCATAAGAAATAAAATTATGCCTAGTCAGATCAAAACCAGAACACTTCTTCACGCATGAACAAATATTTAAAAAAATTAATGTATAATTAAACACATTTTAGGGGATTACAGCATGACACAAGAGTGACAAAGTTTTTATTTAATATAAAACTGCATGTATGTAAATTTTATTATCTGTTCTTCTTCTTCAATGATGAAAGTGCTTTCATATGACACTGTTATCTTTCCATTTCCTTCTGTTAAACAATAATCCATGCATTACAGTTGATATTTTTTGTTTATTTTCAGCTTTTCCTAATCATTACATGAATTTTAGTCAATTTACAGCTTATCAGAGATTCAGATCATGCAAATATTATTAAACATGCATTTTATGTATCATTAATAATGAGAAAGAAATTATTTGGAAAGTATTAGTTTTATTTTAGTTTAATTAGTATTTTGTTACTTCATGTCTAAAGGTATTTGGTAAATAGTTTTGCAGCTTATTCGACTCATTTCAACCTTCAATGTTACTTATCTGTTTGCAAGCTTCAAATGAAATAGTGATAATAGTAGAGTCGGCAAGAAGATAATTTATCTGAAACGTGTAAGGTATTTTTGCAACACATTTCGGACATTTTGATCACCCATGTACTTGTCATACATATTTTTGTAGCATAAATGATTACAATATAAGTCAAATTGTGTACATATCAGGTTCACAAATAAGGGACGTTACCACTGAGCTATTCGGGCTCACGATTGACCTCCTGTAGGACTGTAGTGGATATTTTGATTTGACACTAGTAACTAGTGTGATGCGTCCAGTCCTCTCTTTGGTGCAGAATGAATTCTATCAGTCAGGTTGTAATGTGGCCACCATTCTAGGTAGCTTGCCATCACGGTGTACATTGTTTGTGATGATATTAGGTGATTAGAGGCAATCGGCAGGAAGCCTTGGACCTAGGTTTCGTGCTAGTTGGCACTCGTCAGCAAGGCGTATCTGCAACCTTGAAGGAACTAGACGCATCACACTAGTTACTAGTGTCAAATCAAAATATCCACTACAGTTCTATAGGAGGTCAATCGCGAGTCCAAATAGCTTAGTGGTAGCGTCTCTGACTGCAGCACTGGGTGACGCGGGTTCGAATCTCAGAAGGGACATGAGTTCCTTCAAGTTTGCAGATACGCCTTGCTGACGAGTTCACAAATAAGGGGTAGGAAGATGATGTCAGAATATCGGATAAGAAAAGGAAAACGGTTCAAAAATTAGATTACCAAGACAGATTCAAAGTAATGATAAATAATTTTTGAACAAAGAAAACAGGTTTAAGCCTCTTTATGTCCAAGGTTTCAAGGAAATTATATATATATATATATATAACCGGAACTTATTATATATGGGCTCAGTGGCATTATCAAAATCAACCTTGTCTCTATGATGAGCATTATGATAGATGATGCTGGATATCTGTATCCAGGATTATTTGTATCCGTTGATTTTATTTATTGTCTCATCCACTTTAGAATCTGTTCTGTAGCTTTAATCGTTAGAGATCGATGGGTCCTTCCTATGTACACACACGTAAATTGATAGACACAGTGGAGTGTGACACTATCATTCGGATGCTGTGAGGGTTTGCAGGATGGCGTAAATCTCGTTTTCTCTGGCAAACTAAGTTTAGCTGCATAGTACGATTAATTGTTGCCCTGAGTCTTCACTCAGCGATTAGACCTTGGTGGTCACCACCGAACATTTAGGATACATAAACATCCTACCTCTTATTGGTGACCTTGGTCAGTTTGACTTATATTGTAATCATTTATGCTCTGCTGCCTTCCATGTAAATGTGTATGACAAGTTCGCGTGTGATCAGAATGTCCGAAATGTGTTGCAAAAATACAATATACGTTTCAGATAAAGTACATCTTCCTATTGTCGAAATTCATAAAGGGAACTGATTGCTCCAAATAAAAACAGCTTTATAATAGAGAATATTTTTTACTCAGGTTAATGACTTGCAATTGGTTGTGTTCTCCGAGCTGGTTGGTTTAACTGCGGAGTTTTTGTCGTCCTTCTGGACAATATCCTCAGCACAAGTTTTAGCATAAAGTAAAGTGATTTAAATTCTCCATGAATGATAGGATTGTGTCTCCTGGCAACCATCTTCGTGACTGGTAGTCGATTTACATCTGTACTGATCACTTTTTATCGACTTGGATTTTGAACTTTCTCGTCACATGATTTACTTCTTATTAGTTGGTGAATTTAGTCTATATTAATATGCTTGTTAATTGCATATTCGTTTCAGTACCAGGCTTCTAGGAATTCTCTGACGCTTTTGGTGTTTCCTCTGTTTAGAATTTCGACATTATCCCAATCAGATTAGTGTCCATAATTATGTACATGCATTGATATGAAATAATATATATCAGAATCCAAGAACACAAATCAGCTGTAAAAAAACATGAAAATATTCTTTCATATAAACGCATGTAGATAATTATGGACATCAGTTTGATTGGAATAATGTCGAAATTTTAAATAGAGGAAACACCAAAAGCGTCAGAGAATTCTTAGAAGCCTGGTACTGAAACGAATATGCGACTAACAAACATGTTAATATATACCAAATCTATCAACTAATAAGAAGTAAATCATGTGACGAGAAAGTTCAAAATCCAAGTCAATAAAAAATAATCAATACAGATGTAAAGATGGTTACCAGGAGATGCAATTCTATCGCTCATGGAAAATTTAAATCAGTTCACTTTATTCCGAAAATTGCGCTGAAGATGTTGTCGGAAAGGTCGTCAAAAGCTCGGAGAACACAACTAATTGCAAAAACAGCTTTATTCTAACAATATGTTAACAAAACACGGAATCCTCAAAGTATTTAAATTAGAGACATTCACTTTTCCTACAGGATCTTGAAGTAAAATGAAACTCGACAGTTTATCATGTGACGCTGCGTTGATTCATTTCAGGCAAGATTCAATCTCATACGAAAATATTTTCCCTTCATTTCCTTTGAGAAGTGAGCAGCACTATATTTTCAGCTAGCTAAAAAAGTTCCTCAAGTTCATATAGCTGTGACCTGAAGGCAAAAGTGACTGGTTACGATAAAAGGAAGTAGAGAAAAGTTCGTTTAGTGTGCTGAATGAAAATTTAGGTAGCCCTGAAACTAAGTGGTGTTCTTTTCTTCACTTTGCAATGAATAATTAACAATACTTCAAAATTTGGTAACTATGGAAACATACACTTTCGTACTAGTCAATTTAGTTAAATTATTCTGCAGTGACCCAATATTTACTTTACTAGTATATGTTTTATACATTGCCAATTACTAACACGCATCTCGAGGTTATGTACTGACTATTTTATGAAAAGACTATGGGTAGAAATTTGTGCTGAAAACTTTATCTAATACTCATCAGCGTTATGCAGTGTTTGCCACTTTTAAGGAGAAACAAATGAAGTCAGTTTGTTGTTCTTGTCTTGTTTTAACACATGAATGTGCCACTGAATACTAAATGAAATGAACGAGTTGATATTATGAAAAAATATCTGTTTTACCTTGACAGAGATAAGTATTATTAACCATTTTGATCATTTTAGGTTTTCAGTAGAATTACAAATCAGTCAGTGATAAAGAATCAAATTTTGTTAGATTTTTCATCATTTATGAAATCTATCTGGCATCCAGCACGAGTGCGTTAACATAATCCATTACTACTGAATATTAGAATACTTCAAATGATTTCTTTGGTGTAAAGCACAAAAGTAGCAGAACTCTAATGCGTTTTCCAAACTTCTGTTGACAATCCAGCTCACCGATACCACTTGTCATTTTTCCAGTTACACTTCAAAACAATCATAATTTTGATAATAAAACGACTTTGCACGGAATGTATATATATATTTTAGCTAGAGACATCATCAGGTCTTTTTTCCATGTATCTAGTGAACTGGTGTGTTTGGTTAAAGAAGGAAACGAAATACGATTCAAGATCATCACTGATATTTCAAAAAATATACCCTTTTCCAAACTTCAGAGGTATGGAGAAGCATGGCAGTTTAGCTATTTCTTGAAATGACAGTTATTTGATTTACCTAGGAGAAAATAATTCCGGAAGTCATAGTGTTAAATGAATCACATAATATCTTACCTATCGGTTAAAATAGCGACAGTAAATTTATGAAGTTCGGGTGGAAGCCTCTCTTTGGAATTCAGGTAGTCATATTTATTTTAAACTAGTCCTATGGAAAATGTATTTCGTGATCAACTGAACTGACTTATCAGGATTGAGTGTTTGACAGAGATGGTAGTGCTAGTTAGGGACTTGAATATACAGGCTCAGAGAAGAGTCATTTAGGTGGTCACTGGGGACTGGATAATCGCGTGTAAGGTAATTGGTGTCTTTCTTTTGTAGCTGAGTGCAAATCATTGCCTATTTCCAACTGGAATCCACTTCTGGTAGTGCCGTCACCATAGTGCTTCCTGGTATTTACCCCTGTCACTAAGGACTGGATTCAAACAGATTGCACTGCTAGTGGCTATCGACAACCTGCTTAAATCACTGGACTGATTGAAATTCTGTCCTGCTCAGTGCATAAAATTTTCTCCATTTCTCTTTGTTTTAACCACTCATATGTGTGCATGTGTAGCCAGATGTAATCGTTCACATTTTTAATTGGCTTGCAACCTACTCCTGAGTATTTGTTGGCGACGATAGAAAAGTACCATCAGGGATTATTTTATTCTTTGAATAGAAGGGCACTAAATCACATGAAGTAGTGTAGACTGCTATTTCACTTGAAGATAATGAATGAAGATAGAATACTATACAATAAACTGGGCTGAAAATTCTGTGTATTTTTGCAGGGGGAAACTATTACTAGTATTACTATTATTGTTATTGTAGCGTGACTGCACGTAGAACTGAAACTTCTAAAACACTTGTCTTGATCCCAGTCGTATTTTAGTATGTGCCAGGTTTATCTTTCAATTCGGCAGTGATCATAAACATCATCAAACCAGTAGATCCTTCTACTGATGACAGATGTCAAACAGAGTTAGACTTAAGATGTGTAACTAAGTACAGTCCCCCATAGTCAGTTGATTCCGATTCGCCTAACGAAAAGATTTGAAACGGACTCCATGTCCTAAGAATTCATAAGATAGCTGACCCAGATAACTTACCTCCGTCTGCTTCAAAGATAGTTGTGGGGTCATAGTAGGGAAACTGACCAGATTCTTTAAGAAATTATAGAGAAATAAGAATGTTTGATAAATGTAGAATGAAGATACAGTTGCACCTACCTTAAGAAAAGACCTACTTAATTTGTGTGACAATCATCAGTGTATTAGTCTGTTACTAGTTGCGTCTAAAATACTGACTGCCAGTATTTCGC